GATTTTCTTCTAGCCTCTCTTGAAAAATTATCAAACAACAGGCTAATTAGTATAAACAGCAAAAGACAGTGTAAGGGTGCTTTCACACCTACACTTTTGTTTCGGAACGTGTCTCGTTTGCCCAGTTAGCGCAGTTCGTTTGGCATATGTGAACAGGGTAATCGCGCTCTGTTCCGCGCCAAAGTAATCGCTCCGAGATCGCTTGAATGAGGTCGTCTCGGCTCGATTGAAACGAACCCTGGAGCAGTTCGATTGCAGTGAGAAAGCGATCTGATCTGAGCGCGGTTAGATCACAGTGTTTTATGGATATGTAATTCGCATACGGCTCTATGAAGAGAGAATTATGAGTAGGGCGGGAAGTTTCGCGAGTCTCTGGATGCCCGCAAACGAGTGATGATCTCCAGGTAATCTCACGTCTCCCTCCCGGTCCTCAAATAGGCATCGTTGCGCACCCTTCTCACCCCTCCCCACTGCGTCTCTCCTCAGACACGTCGCGCGTCGCACCCTGTCAATCACCACTAAACCACCACCTCTCCTGACAGCTGAGCGGGACGCTGCAAAAGAAACCCTGACATTCACCGATGTAAGGAGAGTTTACTCACACGTGACTTGTTTTAGCTCTTTTGGTCCGATTAGAAACTTTGCAGTGTGAAAGCGAACCGCTCCAAGAGCAAAGAGCAACTATGTAACAGTTGTAATCTCTGTTTCGGAACAACTGAATCGATTCACAGGTGTGAAAGCACCCTGAGGCACTCAAAAAATGTGGGAAAAATATTAAAAAGCCTTTACTGACATGGCTATTTATTAAAACTGCGCCTACACGTTATGATAACACTTGACTTATCAGGGTAACCTGATGTAGTTGCAGGTTTAAGGAACAGCCACTAGAGGCTTGTTATTACTTTTTCCTCATTTTTTGAGTGACTGGGATTGATTTTGATGTTTATTCTGATGAATCCCAAACACAAAGAGCACCGACACATTATTTAAGCTACCCCTGAAAACTTTTTGTTTGATTTTGGATTTTTATACACAGCCTGATTAGTATTAAAATTAACTACAATAGGCTGCTTTTGGTGCTTCAGACCTTTTCCTTGTTCATTTTTTTCTCTCTCAAGAATAAGGTTAAAGATTTAAGATTTAGTTAGGCTACTTGTAAATTTTTATTATTTTTTTTCTTTTAACAAGTCGGTCTATAGTGAAAGTTGGTCTATAGTCAAAACCTTTAATGGGTTATTTCCACAATTTATGGTGATATATAGGTTAAATGAGAATATAGTGGCAAAAATTCTGGACCAATAGCAAATTCTGGACCTTTGTCAGTGGAGGGGTATTTCTTTCGAACCACCCGAACCCCCCTGGCTAGGGGCCTGCACTAAAAGACTTGATGACATTGAAGTGCAAAATACTAATTAATGGCCATTTTTATTCTTCATATTTAGCCTCTAAACACTTCAGTCAACAAGATGTTTTTAATTATTAGCTTCAATAATGACAACTAAATTTGGATTGTAGCAAACAGGAAAATAACGATGCAGCATTTAAATAAAAGTTATGATTGCTTTTTATTTATTATTAAAGTTGGGGGACCTGTATTTAAAGGAATAGTTCACCCAAAAATTTATTCAGTTACCATTTACTCACCCTCCACTTGTTTCAAACCTGTTTGAGTTTCTTTCTTCAGTTAAACACAAAAGAAGATTTACTGAATAATGCTGAAAACAGTAAACAGAAAACAGTCTTTTTTTCCGTGGAGGTCAATGGCAAGTGGTTTCTAACACTCTTCAAAATACCTTATTTTGCATTCAAACTAAAAAAAAAAATGCAGGTTTGGAACAAGTAACAGAGTACATGGTGAGTAAAATTAATCTGAATATGATCTTCATAACAGTGATAATGAAGACCAAGACATTTTAGAATTTGGCATAATGTAAATACAAAATAATAACAGCCCAAAGACAAAACCTTGGGAGATATAGGCGGGTGTGCATTCAGATACAGAACTGTGTTGTGATTGAGATATAAATTTAATCCAGTCCTTTAAATACCAATGAAAAGTAGGAAAGTAACAGATTGTGGCAGACGGTGTCAAAATGCCAAATTGAGATCAAGTAATGGGAACACTGTAAAGCTGACCATAAAGAAAAAGAAAAAAAAGCGCTATTATATTTCAAATGGGTCACACTTTACAATATAGTTCATTAGTTAATGACAATTAATGCATTTACTAACATGAACAAACAATTAACAATACATTTACTACGGTATTTGTTCATGCTAGTTATTGTTAGTTAATGAAAATACAGTAGTTCATTGTTAGTTCACGTTAACTCATGGTGCATGTTACCATTAAATGTGTGAAAATTGCTAAAGACAATTACACTGATTTATATGGAAAATGGGCACGCAGAAATCTTACTTCTTAAAATTTAGCAAATTTTTAACCCATCACTCAGTCTATTTATTGCCTCGCTTGTGTAAATGTGTGTAAACGAAACATATGCAGTTATGCACTTTTTATGTTAATTTCAGTATATATTATAAATATAAAATCTTATTGAATAACATAAAAATTTTTAGATCAGTGGTTCTCAAACTTTTTTCACCAAGTACCACCTCAGAAAAAAATTGTCTCTACACGTACCACCATAATGACCAGTATTAAAATACAGTAGCATAGTTGACCTAATTAAGCAGCTAAATCTCTGCACAGTTCAAAAACAAGGCAGATTAATTACTATTATTATAAATGTTTATTATTATCAGCCACTTTAACCATTGTCACTGTTCTTAAAAAGTAGAAAGAAAACCGCTGTACTTAAATGTAAAGTATTATCATAAAGTATCCTATTCATCAAAACCTTGAAATGTTGCTTGGACCTCATAAATATAGACTCTACGTCATCATATTAATTAACTCATTTTGATCGATTTTGAAATCTAAGTTGCGTGTACATAAGACTTACTTGCATATCTTTAAAATCTAAACATTACTGTGTATTTTAAATGTTCGAATTGGATTTTACATTTCTTTTATCAGAAATTAGATCTGCTTACTGCGGGTTAGAGTAGGCTTTGTGTGTCAGAAAAGCAAGCGATTAAACTATACCCGTCTACCTTGGGATATATAAATACGGGATACATCCCCAACCACCATTACAAATACGGGGAGGAAATTAGCTTTAAATGATAGAATACAAAACAAACTTTAGAAAATTGAAAATAAAATAAAAGGTTTCGCTTACTAAAATCAATTTACTGATTCCATTGGTGTTACCGTACACGTTAAAGGATAAAACTGTGTTCATTTTTTTTTCTTTAATTATATAGGTATTCCTCCACGTACCACTAGAAGGAAGCCTGCGTACCACTAGTGGTACACTTACCACAGTTTGAGAACGACTGGTTTAGATGATTTATGTACAATATAGTTTCTAAAATAATATTATAGATGTTTATATTTTGTAATAAATACACACACACACACACACACACACACACACACACACACTGCTCAGCATATACGAGTACACCCCCCACAAATCTCTCATTTAAATTAATTATTTAATAAATATTTTCTATAGGATGCTTTCCAAATTACACTTGTATATATACATTAGTTTAGTCAGTACTGAAGCCAAATCTGGTGCTAATCAAACAAAATAACTTACAACAATGGTTCAAAAATTTAAACACACAAATTTGTTAAGAAAAAATATTAAATACGTTACATTTTCTAAAAAATTTAGAGAAACAATAAATATATACAATTTTGTTGAAATTTTGTTGGTTGTATTTTTTATTTTTTTTTTGCAATATTTTGTGTGAATTTAAATGTATTGTCCTTCCATTTCTAAAGATGATTTGTGACAAAAAATATTATTTTAATAAATATATCTGTTTAATTAAACGGTTTTGTTCAAATGCACCAGTCATACATTACCCATATTCACTGAGAAATAGATAAAAAAAATTCATTTTCAAAATGGGGTGTACTCAATTATGCTGAGCACTGTATACAGTCAGTTATTACCCCTAATTAGTTATTAGAGTTATAAAATGAGGGTATTATTCCCTCATTGTCAAAGTTTAACAACTTTAACACATTTCTAATCATAATAGTTTTAATAACTCATCTATAATAACTATTTTATTTTATCTTTGCCATGATGACAGTAAATAATATTTGACTAGATATTTTTCAAGACACTTCTATACAGCTTAAAGTGACATTTAAATGCTTAACTAGGTTAATTAGGTTAACTAGGCAGGTTAGGGTTATTAGGCAAGTTATTGTATAATGATGGTTTGTTCTGTAGACTATCGAAAACAAATATAAAGCTTAAATGGGCTAATAATTTTGACCCTCAAATGATGTTCAAATAATTTAAAACTGCTTTTATTTTAGCCGAAATAAAACAAATAACACTTTTCCTAGAAGAAAATATTACCAGACATACTGTGAAAATTTCCTTGCTCTGTTAAACATCATTTGGAAAAATATAATAATAAAAATATTATAATAATTCAAAGGAGGCTAATAATTCTGACTTCAACTGTATTTTATATGACATATCCTGTAGCTTTGTTTACCAAACATATCTAATTAGATTTGTATTGTAAACCTTAGAAATTAAAAAGCTATTTTTTGTATTTCATGTGTTAAGTTTTCAGTTCCAATAGTCTCATAAACATTCAGCATAAATGATAATGAATCTGCACCGAAAGAGCCAAACACACACACACACACACACACACACACACACACACACACACACACACACACACACAAATAATAATAATAATTCTGCCTGTCCCTGCTGATTTGTATTTTGTCACATTCATAGTCAAATTCCATTGCTTTGCATCAAATAAAATGATATTCGCCCGGTCTATAAGGGAAGTATCACTGATAAAGCTCTAGATATTATTAACTGAAAGGTTGTAGGTTCAAGCCTTGCAAGGTAAACATTAAACAAGGTAAATATACACACACATACCTTCAGCCAGAGTTTCCTCCACAGTGACCTGGTGTCTTCCTACAGTAAAATTCCTTCCGATGAAATTCCCACCAGCACCACTGCCAGACCCAGAACCTCCAGCTCCCCCTCCAGAACCTGGCCCGGAGCCCACCAGCTCTCTCCGGGAGTCAAAGAACTTCTTCATGATGTCTACAAGATCCCAAAGCTGCTAAATGAGAGTCTATAAGAAACTGAAGCAGGCTGGTAGTTCTGGTGCAGGAGGTCTATATCAGCTATGACTGGCAAACATGGACTCTAGGCCCAGTTCTAGAGCTGATCACTGCTTAAATGGACCGTACAGGTAAACGAAAACAAGTAGTATATGTGCAAAATTAAAGCATCACAGTCGACTATATCCAAATATACAGCATCTATCAGAGATGGCCTGATATGATTGATGTGTTTGGTGTCTATATGGCGATATAAATACTTGAATCCAGCTGAAATCGATGTAAACATTCAACATTGGTTGAAAAACGGACCTTCAAACGAGAAGTGCACAGAAATCATTGTTTTGATGGATGAAAGTCAAACTCTCCATCATCAGCCAGCTGTGCAGCTCAAGAAAACCAGCCACTTTTCACAGAAAACACAGATGACATGCGGATGTTAATCAGAATAACGGATAATTTGGCTAATTAGACGCCCATACGCGTGTGAATTAGTCTCTTATCTGATGAACAAACAGCTATTTAGATTGCAAACACAGTGGGCTAGGCGCTAACGCTAGCATTCCTGCAAAACCCGCCCGGACGCGTGACAGCTCTCATCTGCGCGCTGCCGTCGGTGTCCTGCCGGTAAACGGTAAACGGATGCGGTTTGATTTTAATCGGACAGAATCAAAATCAGAATGAAATGACCGTGTTGTTCATGGCGATTCTCGTCTGCGGCTTTGGATGCTGCAGATGCGCCAGCTAACCGGAAACTACACCGGACGCGTGAAGCCAGCGCTTCAAAATCTATAATAAAAGTCCAAAACTCTTAATAATCATTGAAGTTTAGCGGATTCATCATTAAAGGAGACATTAAAATGTTGACCTTTAAATTTTACATTCATAAATGTAAATTTATCAATAAGAAACTTAATTTTAGGACATTGCGGTGACTGAAATATGCTTGTATATTACCGGAGACTCTTTAAACAAGAAAGCCCTACACACGTAAAAAAAATTGTAGGCCTATTTAATTATTACAAATGTATATTGTGTATGCTTGTATTTTGTTTATATTCACCCCCTGGCATGTATTTTTTTATTGTAAAATGTATGGAGCCAGATCAGTCTCAAAAATAATACATTTAAAAAAAAAAGTTATGTGTTTATGAATTGCATTTTATATTTGCAAATTGGATTTGCATATTTTTTTAATAATGTTTTTAATTTATGAATTGGATTTGCATATTTTTGAATCATGTTTTTAATTTACGAATTGGATTTGCATATTTTTGAATCATGTTTTTAATTTACGAATTGGATTTGCACATTTATGAATAATGTTTTTAGTTTACGAATTGGATTTGCGCATTTATGAATCGCGTTTTTAATTTATGAATTGTATTTGTGTATTTTTTAATCATGTTTTGCTTTTACAAATTGGAGCTGTGTATTTTTTATTAGTTTTTTGAATTTACAAATAGGATTTGCGCATTTATGAATCGCGTTTTAAACTTACGAATTGGATTTGCGCATTTATGAATCGTGTTTTGATTTTACAAATTGGATTTCCGTATTTATGAATAATTTTTTTAATTTACAAACTGGATTTGCGTATATATGAATCACATTTTTAAATTACAAATTGGATTTGCGCATTTATGAATCGTGTTTTGAACTTACGAATTGGATTTGTGCATTTTTGAATCGCATTTTTAATTTACGAGTTGGATTTACATATTTATGAATTATTTTTTTAAATTTCCGAATTGGATTTGCATATATATAAATAGTTTTTGATTTTACAAATTGGATTTGTGCATTTATGAATCGCATTTTTAATTTATGAATTGGATTTACATATTTATAAATCGTTTTTTAAATTTACGAATTGGATTTGGGCATTTAGAAATCGTGTTTTGAACTTACGAACTGGATTTGCGCATTTATGAATTGTGTTTTGATTTTACGAATTGGATTTGCGTGTTTGTGAATCATTTTTTTTAATTTACAAACTTGATTTGCGTATTTTTGAATTGTGTTTTGAATTATTTTTGAATTGTACTTTTTAATCGTTTTTTTATTTTCAAATTGGATTTGTGCATTTATGAATCGTGTTTTGATTGTACAAATTGGATTTGTGCATTCATGAATCGCATTTTTTATTTACCAATTGGATTTACATATTTATGAATCGTTTTTTAAATTTACGAATTGTATTTGCGCATTTATGAATCGTATTTTGATTTTACAAATTGGATTTGCATTAATAAATCGCTTTTTTAATTCACGAATTGGGTTTGCGTATTTGTAAATTGTGTTTTGACTTTACGAATTAAATTGTGTATTTTTTAATCATGTTCTGAATTTATGAATTGGAATTGCGTATTTTGAATATTTTTTTTATTTTACGAATTGAATTTGTGTATTTATGAATCATGTTTTGAGATTGGATTTAATAAACGTGAATTGTGTTGTGGATGTATGAATTTTATTTTGTAAATGTAATATTTTTGAGACTGATCTGGCTCCATGCAGCAGCTGGAGGAGACTGTGGAAGGCATGAGTAAAGTATTTCACAGTACTGCTTTGTTGGAGCACCGAGAGAGAGCAATATAAACTTAAATTCACGCATGCCAATTGCTTATCAACATGCATTATTTTAATATTATATTTGTATATTTATGATTTCCGTGGTGGTAACTGAGTTGGCGTTAACACTTGTAAGCATTTCTGTACGAAAAACTTGCAAAAAGAAAGTAACCAAAGTCCCTTTAATGTATCCTCATAGCCTCCAGCTTTCTACTCATGTTTCAAGACATAATTTACATCTAATTCAATGCGATGTATTTCTCTTTCACTTAAAACTGCAACATGCACAGCAAAAGAAGAAAATAAAAGAGTTAAAAGCTTTATAGCTGGCACACCGTCTCGAAACGATTCATATGAGGATGAAAATCCGTAAGAATGAGAGTCAACGCAATATAAAAGAGGAGGGGCCGCAAATGAGGAACTGTAACATGATTCTGCCAACACAAAAAGCCAACACCCATTAAAGTTGCCAACAAAACTGAGGACATCCCTTGAAAATCTTCTTCCATTCAGACTAACGGGTGTCTCTTCTCTGTCAGTCCGGCGCTTCTGCAGGTAAGACGCAAACACTACAAAACTTTCGTCGCTTTTTACGTTATCCGCGAACTTTTGTAACCACTACAGTTTATAGACATGTACTCACTCATTTGACAAGTTAATTAGAAGCACTTTACGCTAATGTAACGTAATAACCGACTGAAGCTCGTCGTTGTTTATAAAATGATTATTTTTTCCTAAATGTTTTGCTACACCTCTGAACACCCACATTCCCTCACGTGACCTTGCAGCTCAACATGATCCTCTGATATGTGGCTTTCATTAAAAATACAATGAGTCATTTTGCTTTGCATGCCAAAAGAATCAGACCACATGCTTTACAAATACATGACCGTGACCTAGATGTGGTAGAGTCCGCGAGGGTACACTGAAACAAAATCATTTCTGTAAAAATGGGCTGCATTTAAACAAACGCATAGTAACGTTCAACTTAATTTGTATGCTTAAATTCAGCCCAAATAAATTGTTTGCAACTACTTACTTTAAAAAACATCAATGAGTCATCTTTGAATTATTTTTTATTTCCTTTACACACATGAAAGAAGACAAATGTTAATACTAATGTCTTTAAAATAAGCTTAAAATGCGCTCAGATTAGCCAAACCTAAAGAGATGTAATTGTTACAGGGATAGTTTGGCAAAATGCACATACTGTTATTTACCCAACCGGGCTGTAAAAGTGGTTGTAAAGCGTTATGAGTTTCTTTCTTCTGTTGAACACAAAAGAAGATATTTAGAAGGAAGCTGGAAACCTGTAACCATCGACTTCCATGGGAAAAACAAATACTATGGAAGTCAATGGTTAGATGTTTTCAACATTCTTCAAAATATCTTCTTTTGTTTTAAACAGAGGAAAGAAACTCAAACTGGTTTGGAACAAGTGAAGGGTGAGAAAATGACAAAATTAAAAACATACACATATGTATACCGCCAGAGCTTGTCCTCAGTGGAATCTGGATTAAATTCTGTAAATAAATAAACCATAACTTAAAGCTGAGCTGTGGTTTGAGCAGTGTGTGTTCCCTTTGTGTGCAATTTCATAATCTGAGATGTTACAAATGTAATATTTAATATTAAACAATAAAAAAAAATCATGGTCAGTGTTGAATTCATCTCCAATATTGTAGCTCAAAAATCAACATATTTGATATGTATAATATTTAACATGTATAACAGATATACCTTATAATACTGTCTTTAATATAAGTTTAAAATGCGCTCCAATCAGCCAAACCTAAATATAAGTTATTGTAAAAAGGGATAGTTCACACAAAAATTATAATTTACATACTAATTACTCAACCTGAAGTGGTTATAATAAATCTTTACCTGTTTTATTTGTTGTGTTGAACACGAAATAAGATATTCAGGAGAAAGTTAAAAACCTGTATCCATTGACTTTTATAGGAAAAACAATTACTATGGAAGTCAATGGTTACAGGTTTCCAGCATTCTTCAAAATATCCTCTTTTGTGTTCAACAGAAGGAAAAAACTCAAACTGGTTTGCAACAAGTGAAGGGTGAGTAAATGATGACTAAATTAAAATGTTTGGGTGAGCTATACTATTTATTCCCTTATACTGTATGCGGAAATTTGTCTTCAGAGGAATCTCGATTATCAATCAATAAATCAATCAATCAATAAATAGATAAATCATAAGTTGAAGCTGAGTTGTGGATTAAGCAGTGTGTGTTCACTTTGTGTGTCATTTATTTAATATATTGGCATGTTTTAAATGTAATGTTTAATATTAAACAATAAAATAAATTGTCAGTGTTGAATTCATCTCCGATATTGTAGCTCAAATTCAACATATTTAATATGTATAACATATAATAATATGTTATTATATTCAGGGGGGTTCAGGTGGTCCAGTATTTGTCCCATACATTAGCTCATTTGTCCTATTTTGACTGTTATGCCAACATAAATTATCAAAATAACCCATCAAAAAAGGCTTTAAGACCTAAAGTAAGATCTGCAAGTAAAGTCAACTTTCTCTGTATTATTGTTAAATAGAGAAAACATTTTAAAAATAACTTTTATTCCAAATCTTGCACCTTATTATTGAAAGAAAAAATGACCAATAAAATATTGTAAAGCACCAAAGGCAGCCCATATTAAGTTACTTATAATACATACTGTATTAGGCAATTGTTGTTATCCATGAGTTATCAAATGTACTTTTTACAAGAGAGGAGAGAAAAATCATGAAGCTCTACCTTATTATCATTATTATATATATATATATTTTTTTATTATTCAAATGCCCAAATTCTTACTGGAGAAAGTTTTTTTGGCCAGTTTGTTATTTGCCTAATAAATGACAATAGGCCACAGTTTTTAATTTAAAACATTAACAAATTCCTATTTCCCTCCCTAGTGATATATTATGTTAGACAAGGCAAGGTGAGTTTCTTTATATAGCACATTTCATACACAGTGGCAATTCAAAGTGCTTTACATAAACAAGAATAAAAGAGACAAGTGTAAGAAAAATAAAAACAAATAATAATTAAAGCTGCAAGCAGCGATGATAGGGACCTCGCACCCGGGCTCACCGCCGCCCAGTGGCCTCAGGATGACAGAAAACAGCGAACAATATTAATTTCAGCCGATATATATAAAGAACCTGAGAAAATCTCAGATTTATGCCAAACTTCCTCCTGTCAGCAGGTGGCGCTATAACTGTGACTCAAGATTGGCATGTAGATGTCTTCCGGAGAGGAATTTTATCAACCATGTGAAGTTTCAGGAACATGGGACATTGTGTGGCTGAGTTATAAGTCAAACTACCTTCTGCCAGCAGGTGGCATTATGACTGACTCAATATTGTTATGTGGATGTGTTCAGGAGAGGACTTTTATCAATCATGTGAAGTTTCAGGCAGATCAGACATTGTGTGGTTGAGTTATGAGGACTTCCTGTTCCATGGCGAAGCGTTGAGGTTTGTCATGCCACCACAGACACGCCCCTCTGCAAAAACTCTAGATCTTCACAATATATCATCGCTAGAGCTTTCAGATACACAACCACTCTATTTTGGTGCTGATACAGGAAAGTTTGTGGAAGGTGTTTGTTACAATATCAAACATGTCATTTCCTGTGGCCAGCAGGTGGCGCTATAACTGTAACTGGATATCGGCACGTAAACCTGTTCAGGTCAGGACTGTTATAAAATGTGTGAATTTTGAGGCAGATCGAATATTGCATGCCAGAGTTATAACGACTTCCTGTTTTGTGGCGAATCGTCAAAGTTTGCGAGGCCGCCACGGACACGCCCATCGATGAAAACTCTAAAGCTTCGCAATTTAACATCGCCAAGGCCTTTAGATGACAAAACCCAATTTTGGTGTCGATCGGATAAAATCCCTAGGAGGAGTTCGTTAAAATACAACGCCTGGAAATGGCAAAAATGTCACTTTTTTGCCGCAGGAAGTTCAAAATATCCGACTTCCTGTTGGGTTTGAGATATGGCTCCAAGAGACTTTTTCGTATGTTTTGGCGTGTTTGAGGTGTGTGCCAATTTTCGTGCATGTGTGTTATTCGTGGATCGGGGGCTCGTCCGTTTAATTTTTATAGGTGGCGCTGTCGAGTCATATTGCCACGCCCACTTTAATATTGTTATGGGGATGTGTTCAGGAGAAAAATTTAATCAACCATGTGACTTTTCAGGCTGATCGGACATTGTGTGGTTGAGTTATAAGGACTTCCTGTTCCATGGCGAAGCGTTGAGGTTTGTCATGCCGCCACGGACACGCCCCTTTGCAAAAACTCTAGATCTTCACAATATATCATCGCTAGAGCTTTCGGATAACACCACCTAAATTTGGTGCTGATACGATAAAATTTGTGGGAGGAGTTTGTGACTCTGTAAATCATGTCATTTCCTGTGGCCAGCAGGTGGCGCTATAACTATATCTGGATATTGGCATGTAAACGTGTTCAGGTCAGGACTGTTATCAAACGTGGGAATTTTGAGGCAGATCGGATAATGCATGCCTGAGTTACAACGACTTCCTGTTTTGTGGCGAGTCGTCAAAGTTTGCGAGGCCGCCACAGACACGCCCATCGACGAAAACTCTAAAGCTTCGCAATTTAACATCGCCGAGGCCTTTAGATGACAAAACCCAATTTTGGTGTCGATCTGATAAAATCCCTAGGAGGAGTTCGTTAAAATACAACGCCTGGAAATGGCAAAAATGCCACTTTTTCGCCGCAGGAAGTTAAAAATATCCGACTTCCTGTTGGGTTTGAGATATGGCTCCAAGAGACTTTTTCGTATGTGTTAGCATGTTTGAGGTGTGTGCCAATTTTCGTGCATGTGCGTGATTCGTAGATCGGGGGCTCGTCCGTTTAATTTTTCTAGGTGGCGCTGTCGAGTCATTTTGCCACGCCCACTTCCGAGACCCATAACATACGTAAATTTTCGCCACTTCTGAGGCGTGTGCAAAGTTTCGTGAGTTTTCGGGCATGGTAAGGCCCTCAAAATCGCGATTCATTCCGGAAAAGAATAATAATAATAAACGGAGCAATTCCAATAGGGCCTTGCACCGTTCGGTGCTCGGTCCCTAAAAATGATTAAAAAAACACATTAAAATGTGTTAAACAGGTTATAAAAGAATGCAAAAGAAGAGAAAAACATAATAGTTCGATCTGTCGTACGCAGCACAGTGCTCATTCAGTAAAGGTATAGGTAAACGGGTGTGTTGTCAGTCTTGATTTGAACGTGCCTAATGTTGGAGCACATCTGATCATTTCTGAAAGATGATTCCAGCAACCGGGGTGGGGGGGGGGTGCTGCTGTTAGTAGCTGAAAGCCGATTTACCCTGCTCTGACTAAACTTTTGGGGTTTCTAATTTATAAAATCTGAGTGATGTTAGGTTTGTATTTAGTGAGCATATCTGTAAAGTATTTAGGTCCTAGGCCATTTAGAGATTCATAGACAAGTAATAATACTTTAAAATCTATTCTGAATGTAACTGGGAGCCAGTGT